ATTTAATTTGATGTATCCAAATAGAATCGCAATTGAAGATTTTTCTTGAATGATACATCAAGGAACAATGCTGTTTAATATTTTCTTTATTTCTTCTTTATTCAATTTATTAAAATTCTAATCATTAATGTATATATCCCATGATGTATCCAATACAATGTATAATAGAATAAAAATGTTAAAAAGTATAATTAAATAAATTAAATAAATAACAAATGTGATAACAAGTATTTTTTTTTTATATCATTGACTGACATTATTTTGAAATATTATTAATATTTATTAATAATAAGAACTATATTAAATAATAAAATAAAATTCTAAAAAAGTATTAAAATATTGAAAATGTCTTATTATTAACACAAGATTCATATAAATAATTAAATAAAAACTTTGATATAAATAGAGAAAAAAATTAAATTATTCTCAAATATCCCATACAGAAGCTTGCATCAACATTGCTGCAATGTTACAACATTGCACATAGCACCGTAATGCTGCAGAAATATTGCAGAGACATTATTTTGTAATATTACTTTGGCAATGTTGCAGCAACATTTTTAAACATAGCGAAAATGTATAACATGTGTTTCTTTACTTGCCGCTATGTGGCGACACCAAACTTAACTCGTATTCGAATTTTCATCTAAAGTGAATATAAAGCCTACAAAAGATTAATATAATAATTATATTTTTTGTCTTGTGTCAGTTAAATTTCTAATAAACTGACTTGATTTATTTAATATTCTGAATCCTAATAAGGGATCTAGATTATTAAACAAATAATTTGTTTAATAATCTGGTTCCCTCGTTGGGATTCAGAATATTAAACAGGTTTTTTTCATTGAATGGATAAATAAAAAATAATTCATTTATTGCACGAATTAAAATATTCTGGTATCGAGTGTAAAATAATTATATGTATATTATTGATAAATATTTAATAAGATACATTTGATAAAAAACACTAATAGATATTTTTTTTCAAAGGCGGTAAATGTGTCTTCCTATCTTTCTTAAATATTTCTTTATATTTTCAAAGTTTATTTATTAAATTTAAAACGGTCTGCATTTGTAGCAAAATGCGTTTTAATATTGCAAATATATTGCGCCGTAACATTACTACAATTTTACTGTAATATTTTTGAGAGCGGACATTTCAATATTGCTGCAAACTTGCAGTAATGTTACAGAAATATTTCGCAATTTCTATGTAATATTTTTGAGAGCGGACATTTCAATATTGCTGCAAACTTGCAGTAATGTTACAGAAATATTTCGCAATTTCTATGTAATATTATTTCTATGTAATATTACAATGTTTTAATGTTAAGTCTACGCAACGTTTTTGCAATCTTTCGGTGCTGTATGGGATACTACATAAAATAGAGAAGATATTAAATAATTTTTAATATATATATATATATATATATATATATATATATATATATATTAAATCAGTATAACTTTTCAATATATATTAATTCAATATATCTTAAATCAAAATCTTCAAAGCACATAATTAAGATATATCAAAACATTAAGAATATGAAAAGCCCTTTATTTTACTTATAATTCCAAAATTATCATTAATATTTCAATATTTTAATTCACACAAGAATAATACTAATTCAATATCGTAAATATCAAAAAATTAATTTCAAATTTATCAAACAATATATTATTAAAATAAAAAAATATTTTCAATTTGTATTTATTTCTAAAGATTTTGTCACGCAAGTTATCGCTAGTTCCTTGGCTTATGTTGCGTGTGCGTGCGAGCGTATGCGTGTTACAATAATAACTGTAATAAAAATAAAAGAGATACAAGAATAATCTATACCTATGCCAGCAGAAAAAAGCATTAAGCTTGTATTAAAGAATGCATTAAAGATTGATATTGATATTGATCAATCAATTGGTTAAGATTTCACCAATCAAGCAATTTCAGTTCTGATTAGTCAAATTTAAATCTTCCCCTTCTGTTCCGATTAGTCAAATTTCAATGTTTAACTTTCAATCTTAAATTTTAACATAATTTGATACGGGCTTTTAACGGGCAATAAACATTTGTTTTCTACTCCATCCATTGTTTTCTAATCCAGCGCGGCTTGTTATATGATTGCACATGTTAGATAATACATCGATAAAAACGATAAGATTGATAAAGTGCAATTTCGTCTTATTAACATCAATACAGAAGGGGGAGGGGGGAAACAAGAAAATATAAAGACGATAAGAAGAAAGAACAATGGAAAGAGAGAGAGGAGAGCAGATATAAAAGAAACAGACAATAGATCAACGAGAAAAATAGTGAGAGGGGCGTGACATGTGTTCGAAAGTGGCGGTACAAAATAAAGGTGTACACATATGTACGTGTACGCGCGCGCGCGCGCATGTGTGTGTGTGTGTGTAATGGTGCACGAATGTGTCGTGTATGTTAGGTATTCGCGATCGGCGGTTTTTGTCGCGGACACACTTGTCGAACATATCGGCAAGCTATCCGCGACGATCATTGCACGAACTGTCAAAAGTTGTCGCCATTCATGACGCAATTGTTGCCGAGATATGCGTCGCCTTAGTCTCTAGGTCTTAATGTTTATCTCTGTCAGATGACGGCCTCGAAAAAATGAAGCATTAAGTGCAGAACGGTGAATCGGCACGGTAGATACAATAAAATACTTACACGACCATGCCATAGGCACCCTCACCCATGTATGACAGATTCGTGTAACGCGGCCCGACTTCGAACGTTTGCCCGCGAACCACCTCGCAATTCGGATTCACGCCTTCCAACGCCGCCATTTTGACAACTACTTTGCGGCACCGTTTCCGATAAAGTGCTCGGGCAGAGCAGTGCTTCGTTGGAGAGCGACGCGTAACGTAACGACGCGTCACCAGTGATGCTAGAATTAAGACGCGACAACTTTATACACCATCTGTGCGAGCAACACGCAACCGTACTGGAGGGGATACGCACCAAGTGAAAATCACGTATGTCATGTGAGATCAGCCACCGACAAGATACTATTAAAGACTGCCGAACTTGGATAAATTTTCGAGACTACCAAGTAGACATGATAAACACAGAAATAATAGAAGATTCGCATTCAGCGAATTCAACAGTTGAGTAATATATGTATATGTATGTTGAGTAGTATATGGCCGGTATTCATAGTCTGATCTTATATTTAAAGATTGTCTAATGTCTGGTCCGAGGTTGACTTAAGACCTCATTCAACCAATCAAATAGCTACGTAGCATTTCAAGCTCGAACTTAAGGCCCAGTTCCACAATCCAGTTAATCCGAGTTTAAGTAGTGAATGGACCAATCAGGACTCAGTTTAACGTATTAAACTCGGATTAACTCGAGTTGTGGAACCGGGCCTAAGGCCGGTATTCATAGTCCGATCTTATATTTAAGATCGTCTTAAGTCTGCTTGGAGGTTGACTTAAGACCTCATTCAACCAATCAAATAGCTGCGTAGCATTTCAAGCTCGAACTTAAGACGATCTCAAATATAAGATCGGACTATGAATACCGGCCTAAGACAATCTCAAATATAAGATCGGACTATGGCCGGTATTCATAGTCCGATCTTATATTTAAGATCGTTTTAAGTTCAAGCTTAAAATGCTACGCAGCTATTTGATTGGTTGAATGAGATCTTAAATCAACCTCCAAGCAGACTTAAGACGATCTTAAATATAAGATCGGACTATGAATACTGGCCTATGAATACCGGCCTATATATATGTATACATATTACTAGGGAGATTTTCATTGGCCGCATTCAGCAGACTCAATCGCTAAGTAGCAATAGAATATGATTAGCTTCTGCGGCGTCTAGATTGAAGGCTATAGCACACACTTTCCATAAGACATAACAGTAAGGTTTCGACCAATCGCGTTGTTCAGTTTGGCCGTCCGTAACCAAATTGAGCAACGCGATTGGTCGAAATCTTACTGTTATGTCTTATGGAAAGTGTGTGTTATAGCCTTGAGATTTTAAAGGCCATTCTACAATGGCCGTAGCATAAGGTTGTAAGGCATAAGACTCAAGAAATTGACCAATCACAGTCGAGTATTCTCTTAATACTTGACTGTGATTGGTCAATTTCTTGTAGAATAGCCTTAACGCCTTTGCAAGTACAAAAATTTTAGTCGTAACCGTAAGGTCCTATCCAGACAAACTTGCATAGGTGCATATGCATAACATAAGACCATATGGACCAATGAGCATCGAGTATTACGTTATGTAAGTCAATATAGCGATTTAATACTCGATGCTCATTGGTCCATATGGTCTTATGTTATGCATATGTACACTGCGCGACAACGATTCGTTCCGTGGCCCCTCTCTCGCGGGGGCAGGGGAGCGTAGAAGTGACCAATCAGCTGGCAGCGTAGCAATGGCTGATTGGTTAGAGGCGCTCTCCTTGCCTCGCGAGAGGGACCTCGGAACGAATCGTTGTCGCGCAGTGTACCTATGCAAGTTTGTCTGGATAGGCCCTTAAGGCCGCAGCACACACTTTTGCATAAGCGCATAACCATAAGCATAAAAAAATTGATTGGTTCATTTTCTTATGCATACACTTGGGGACCAATCAATTTCCTTATGCTTCTGGTTATGCGCTTATGCAAGTGTGTGCTGCGGCCTTTAAGGCCTATCCAGACAAACTTGCATAAGTGCATATGCATAACATAAGATCACATGGACCAATGAGCATCGAGTATTAAGTCGCCATATTGACTTATATAACATAATACTCGATGCTCATTGGTCCATGTGGTCTTATGTTATGCATATGCACCTATGCAAGTTTGTCTGGATAGGCCCTTAAGCTTACGTTTACGTTTTACGTTTATGGTTACGGCAATTCATGTGCGAAAGCCTTTAGGCCCAGTTGCACCAACATTATTTTAGTTTTAAGCGAAACTTAAATGTATTTCGATCTTTATTTATTTAGAAAGAAAGAAAGATAGAGATAGGCCCGGTTTCACCAACGTGATTTAATCTAATCGGTCGATTAACTGTCAGAGTTGCCAACTGCTGAACATAATAAAACTGATCGTAACCTATTTTCTTTCTGTGAAGCAAGGTCCGTGGATGGCGACGTTCGTTTTTAAAGTCTTGTTATTGGCAATTCTGGTGACCAATTTAATCGACCGATTAGATTAAATCACGTTGGTGAAACCGGGCCATAGACATATATTTAAGTTTCGCTTAAAGCTAAAATAACATTGGTGTAACCGGGCCTTAAGGCGTAAGATTTAAGAAATTGATCAATCACAATCGAATATTCTCTTAATTCTTGACTGTGATTGGCATTATAAAAAAAATTTTGCTGCAAATTATATATATTCTCCAAAATTATATATAATTATATAATTTTTATATTTTTACAGAAGATGAATCTAAGATTAAAGAACTAACATCACAATTGACTGTTATGGAAGAAAAGCAATATACAGGAACTCAAAATTTGGAACATAAAAATAATGAGTTGTGGAAATATAATACCTATTTAATAATAAGTAATAATTGTATGTTTATTTATTCATTAATACATATATAACACATACTATCATTATACATTTTTCCATTTAATTTTTTTGGACATTCTTTCATTGCTAAATGCTTTTTTTAATAGAGAAAACTAGAAATAGAAAAAAAAGAGCTGTTACAAGAGATTAAACAGAGGAAAAACAAAACAATTTAAAATCTTTTAAACCAAACTTACAAGATCAAAAAGTGTTGGAACTAGGAAAGTATTATTATTCCATATATATTGACATACTTTTACTTTTATATCATGATTTCTTTTGTTTTATAAGAAAAAATTAAAATTATACGAAGATTTAACAAAGATTCAGTGGGATTATGAAGCAAAACATAGTGTAAGAGGCTGATCCTTTTTCAATATTTATGACTAACTTATTAAATGCGATTGATATATATATGCATGTATGTACATATATACATTATGTGCAATACACATTTCACAATATATTTAATACTGCAACCTTTTTTTTAAGTTTAAAATATAAACAATGCTTGAGCATATTTGTAGATGACAAATAATAATCCTTAATTCTTGAAAATAGATGTCTTAAATAAATATGATTATATTCATTATTGTGTCAATATGATTATATTGCATCATTTTTGTTGAAAATCAAGAAACTAATGACATTAGCAGACTCTCTGTAGCATGAAATATATTTGTCTACTAGTAAAGCCAGAGATGAAATTTTTTAAACATTTTACATATGATACTAATATGATAGTTATAATGTCTTACACTTGTAATCTGTGTATGTTTTATGAATGAAGTACTTTTTTGTCTCGAGTTTGTTATATCTTAATTTAATTTGATTTTTTGTTCAATATTGCCAATTAATGTAACAATGATCATTATATTGAATTATAGATAAAGACAATTAAAATAGGTATATTATACTGATGATGATTATTTCTGATATTTATTTAAATCTATTATCCTCTATTTAGATATTAAATCTGTTCTTTATAGCTAAACTGGCTGCATTATTCAAAAATTATCTTTTTTCTTCCAATGCAGAATAAGAAATACTAACTGTGAACTAGCTTTGGAAATTTGGACCCTTGTTTTGACTTTTCAAATTCTTTTTTTTTTTTTAATCATTAGTGATTAGTTTGTAGATAATTGTGAAATTAATTAAAACGTTTGTGAGATTAGTTTTTGCTTTAAAATAGAAAATACAAATGACCGTTAAGTTAGTGCTCTCATTTTTAATTTCAATCTTATTTAAGTTCTGTAGAGGATCAATCGACACAGAATCATTTGTGAGTCACAAACATACTAATTAAAACGATTGTGAAAGAAATTTCTCCAAAAATTACTAAATATGGTCTTTGACTTTATTTAAGAAACGCTCTCATGTTTTAATGCAAAAGTATGAGACACTATAATTTAATTACTACTCAAGAAGAAAGATAATTTTTTAAGCAGCTAATAACTTTTAACTAATTCACATATCTATTAATTATTTAATTTATCCATACAAATAATTTTAAAAAAATACTTGACTAGTAAGGAATATGAAAAAAATGCAATGTAACATATAAATTTTGCAATTTATATAAATATTATAGTTCTTAAAATATAAAAACACAGTATATACACATTAAATTTGATTTAGCATAATTAAATGTGTTTAAGTTAATTATTTACAAAGCGTATGTGTCATATTTAATGAACATATTTTAAGGTTTTAAAGAACACTAAATATTAAATTAAAAAAAGTTTAATAAACTATGTATAGATACATCTTCAATTTATTTAATCTAACCCTTCCTTCTTCTCTTTGATTGCCTCCTAAAAAACATTATATTTAGTAATACAAAATTATATTTATAAAATATTTTATAAAATATTTTCCTTCATATTTTATATTATAACTGCATACCTTAAAACGTTCCTCAAACAATGAAAGTTCTGCAATTAAATCAGTGATGGCATGCATAAAAGCTTCATGTGGCGTATAATCTGATGTCGTTTGTATTCTAATAACAAACTTATGTTCCAGTGGATGCGGGACTTTATATCCAGCAAATAATACTTGAGGATCCTTTAACAATTGACTATAGATTCAAAAACAATTATTAACTGATTATATAAAAAAGATAGAGTAAGAAAAACTCATATGCTTACTTGCGAATCATGTTTCCTAAAGTATGATCCTCTTTATTGATTGTAAAAATGGCAGCATTTGGCACTTTAGTATCTTGTTCTTTTATTATCCTACAATAAACATATAAGAAAAAATGTATATAAGATTATATGATTCAATTATATACATATATCTCATATATAGAATTAGAGGATTCATTTATATATCTTAAAAAATGAGGATATCAAATACATATACTTTTTTTCTCCTTCATATAGCAAGAACGATTCAAAGGTTGGAGGTGCGTTCATTTCGTTTGGTAGATTCCTTCTTTTTACAGATTTTCTTCAATAGATAGGTCACAATATCCACAATTTTACAAATTATAAACACTTTATAGCATAAAACTTATCTCTTAACCGAATTTCCTTACACTTTACATACGTAAATAAACTAAAAACGAAATAGATATCAGAGAGAAACCTGAGAGCGGCCACCAGCCTCGACGGGCACATTTCTCGATGCTTGACGCGCCGTCTGACAAAGTGGACGTGAACTATGTCCATTACACTCGGTAACGAAACATGGTTTGTGTCTATGATATGGGTTCATGTCCGAACTCAGAGATCCATTCAGAGATGGACAGTCGGATAAGAATCGATAATTCATCGTTCTGTCTTTGGATGTTTACGACAATTAATCGGATCTCTGATCGAACTGAGCAGTGGTACTCAGCGATAGACTTCCTAAATTTCCCTAGACTAATCCGGATCAATAATGTGTCTCTGAAGTAATCGAATTAGATTAACAGTCATCGAAAGAAATTGCGGTCGAGTTGATCGAAAAATTTGTGAAAAACATCATAAGAAATTATAGAAGATACTTTATTATTCTTTTAATTAATATATCTTTATTTATCAAATATATATTAATAAACAAATGTATTTTACTAGAATAAGATGTTTTCTATAAAATAAGAATAAGTTGTTAATCTAATTTGATTACTTCAAAGACACATCATTGATCCGGATTAGTCTAGGGAAATTTAGAAAGCTATCTATCGCTAAGTACCACTGTTCAGTCTGATCAAAGATCCGATTAATTGTCGTAAACACCCTTTGTCTCATCAATGACAGACCACGCGACTGTCACGCGACGAGCTTACGATTTTGCTTTCCTCTTTCTCTCGTCGCGCTTACACGTTCTTCGTTATGATGTAATAACGAAATGATCTTCACATAATCCTAATTTTTTAAGGGTATTGGCAGACAAGTTTTCCAACTTTGTATGTCCTGTAACAAAAATACAACACATTATGAAAATTACGATTACATGCTTACTTCAAGCTGCCATAGCAATTGGTATACCGAATGTTTGGTAAAAAAAATTTTTTTATGTCAGGCGTGTTGGTTATAATCAATTCGATAAAGTGCTACTTCATAATAGCGCGTAGCAGTGCAAGTAAGATGACTGCATGACGGCGCTGACCCGAGTTCGAATCTCTCTGCTGTCGTTTTTTTATTTTTATTTTATGAAATAATAAAATAACAAATAATATGTATTGAATTTGGGAGCAGAAAAGGCAAAAAATTAATAAAATAATGACAATTATTGCACAAAAACATACTTGTATTGCCTATCCATGTATTGCATCTTGTATCCTTCTGCATTGGAAATCGGAATAGCCGTTTCCTATGCGAAAATCTCCCATTCTTACATTCTTTACTTTATTTCTGTACACACACTTATCATAATAACTATCTATAGGGCACTGACTCGACATAGTGATTGTTTATTATAATGCAAAACAAAAAATATAAAAATAAAATTAAAAAAACTTAAAAATAGAAATAAAAGAGAAATACAACACGTGATAAAAAAATAAAAAAATTACACAACCAACACAATAAAAGCATACACGCACGTACGTGTACACGTAGAAATATTTACAGATAATGTGTCGTGTTATATAAAAGAAACAATAATACGTGTTGCAAAATACACAGATCTTACAGATCGTTAAAAAAATATAAATTTAAAACAATAGAAGAGATCTGTTATGCACAGATAATGAAGTACCGCAGACAAATCACGATAGTGAAACGTAATTCTTTTATATATTAATAAAAGATTAAAGAATCTGTTTATTGTTAATGTAAAGTTATTTTGTATATCATCATACAAAGAATTATAGTTTCACAAACTGATTTATCTATTTTTTTGTTATTATTTTCAAAATTAAATATAATTACATAAAAAATGATTACATAAAATTAATCATCCGAATTATCGATCTCATCAAGACATGAGCCAGAATGATATTTATCATAAAAACATGAAAAACATAATGTAATACAATATCTAGCGCATTGGATGCTGTATTGTGCCGTATATGTGTGAGCAATCTTATTAAAACTTTATTTTTTTACAAGAAAATTATTCACATCATTCGATACACTAGATATTATATTACATTATGTTTTTCATGTCTAACACTAACACGCAAATGCATCAAAGTAAGATATCATTCGCATTGATATGTATATTTTTTTAATTAATTAATTATTTAAAAAATATATAAAATAAAATATTACTATAATAATATGAGAGTTGTAAGCATTTATGAAATACAGATATAATTATTTTAAATAAAAAGAAAAGGTTTTATTAAAAAACATTTTTAAAAATGTCTTTATAATAAATAAATAAATTTGTCTCTATATATTGGGCGCCCGAAGTCGTCTCGAAATCCTATCCGAATTATGTAAAATGTAGCGCGTGAAATATGAGACGGGGCCGACAAGGGATGGAAGGAGACATGAGCTTTACGATAGAAAATCACCGCTCGCCTCATGCCTACCGCCGCGTGATTTGCCATCATTGGTGAGACAAAAGCAGAACGATAGATTATCGGCTCTTGTCTAACTCTCATGTCCATCTCATGTGAATAGTTCGGATATGAACCATAGCTCGGACATGAACCATAGCTCAGATACGAACCATGTATTATTATCGACTGTAATGGATGTAGTTGACGTCCACTTTGTCAGGCGGCGCATTAGGACAATGTGCCCGTTAAAGCGAGGTGGCCGCTCTCAGGTTTCTCTCTGTAGATATTTATGTTCCAAAACCGTTTCCCCTAGAAAAATATTCGATGGACGTTCCGAAATTATCAGTGCGTTCGAAAATTAGTGTGTTCGAAAATATGTTTGGTCAGAGAGAAACCTGAGAGCGGCCATCTCTCTTTAATGGGCACATTGTCCTAATGCGCCGCCTGACAAAGTGGACGTCAACTACATCCATTACAGTCGATAATAATACATGGTTTGTATCTGAGCTATGGTTCATATCCGAGCTATGGTTCATATCCGAACTATTCACATGAGATGGACATGAGAGTTAGACAAGAGCCGATAATTTATCGTTCTGCTTTTGTCTCACCAATGATGGCAAATCACGCGGCGGTAGGCATGAGGCGAGCGGTGATTTTCTATCGTAAAGCTCATGTCTCCTTCCATCCCTTGTCGGCCCCGTCTCATCTTTCACGCGCTACATTTTACATAATTCGAATAGGATTTCGAAACGACTTCGGGTGCCCAATACATAGATACAAATTTATTTATTTATTATAAAGACATTTATTAAAAATGTTTTTTAATAAAACCTTTTCTTTCTATTTAAAATAATTATATCTGTATTTCATAAATGCTTACAACTCTCATATTATTATAGTAATATTTTATTTTATATATTTTTTAAATAATTAATTAATTAAAAAAATATACATATCAATGCGAATGATATCTTACTTTGATGCATTTGCGTGTAGTGTTAGACATGAAAAACATAATGTAATACAACATCTAGTGTATCGAATGCTGTGAATAATTTTCTTGTAAAAAATTAAAGTTTCAATAAGATTGCTCACACATATACGGCACAATACAGCATCCAATGCGCTAGATATTGTATTACATTATGTTTTTCATATTTTTATGATAAATATCATCCTGGCTCATGTCTTGATGAGATCGATAATTCGGATGATTAATTTTATGTAATCATTTTTTATGTAATCATATTTAATTTTGAAAATAATAATAAAAAGATAGATAAACCAGTTTGTGAAACTATAATTCTTTGTATGATGATATACAAAATAACTTTACATTAACAATAAACAGATTCTTTAATCTTTTACAAATATACATATAAAAGAATTACGTTTCACTGTCGTGATTTCGCGGCTATTTGATGCTATGAAACAAATAATGCGCGACGACACGCTGGAAATAATCAATCAGCGGGCTTTAAAAGTGACGTTCGATTTTGCGGTGCTTTATTATCTGTGCATAACAGATCTCTTGTATTGTTTTAAATTTATATTTTTTTTTAACGATCTGTAAGATCTGTGTATTTTGCAACACGTGTTATCGTTTCTTTTATAGAACACGACACATTATCTGTAAATATTTCTGCGTGTACGTGCGTGTATGCTTTTATCGTGTTGGTTGTGTAATTTTTTTATTTTTTTATCACGTGTTGTATTTCTCTTTTATTTCTACTTTTAAGTTTTTTAAATTTTATTTTTATATTTTTTTGTTTTGCATTATAATAAACAATCACTATGTCGAGTCAATGCCCTGTAGATAGTTATTATGATAAGTGCGTATACAAAGAATGTAAGAATGGGAGATTTTCGCATAGGAAACGGCTATTCCGATTTCCAATGCAGAAGGATACAAGATGCAATACATGGATACGCAATACAGGTATGTTTTTGTGCAATAATTGTCATTATTTTATTAATTTTTTTGCCTTTTCTACTCCCAAATTCAATACATATTATTTGTTATTTTATTATTTCATAAAATAAAAATAAAAAAAAAACGACAGCAGGGAGATTCGAACTCGGGTCAGCGCCGTGACAAGCAGTCATCTTACTTGCACTGGTACGCGTTATTAAGAAGTAACACTTTATCGAATTGATTATAACCAACACGCCTAACAAAAAATTTTTTTTTACCAAACATTCGGTATACCAATTGCTATGTCAGCTTGAAGTATGCATGTAATCGTAATTTTCATAATGTGTTGTATTTTTGTTACAGAACATACAAAGTTGGAAAACTTGTCTGCCAATACCCTTAGAAAATTAGGATTATGAAGATCATTTCATTATTACATCATAACGAAAAACGTAAAAGCGCGACGAGAGAAAGGGGAAAGCAAAATCGTAAGCTCGTCGCGTGGCAGTCGCGTGGTCTGTCATTGATGAGACAAAGACAGAACGATGAATTATCGGTTCTTATCCGACTGTCCATCTCTGAATAGTTCGGACATGAACCCATATCATAGACACAAACCATGTTTCGTTACCGAGCGTAATGGACATAGTTCACGTCCACTTTGTCAGACGGCACGTCAAGCATCGAGAAATGTGCCCGTCGAGGCTGGTGGCCGCTCTCAGGTTTCTCTCTGGTTTGGTCGGTGTTGGGAAAAAAGATCAAGTTGGCAGTATTGAAAACTCCCAGTGCTGCGTTTCGTTTCTCCCACTGGGATCATTAGGGCCGGTATTCATAGGCCGGTATTCATAGTCTGATCTTATATTTAAGATCGTCTTAAGTCTGGTCCGAGGTTGACTTAAGACCTCATTCAACCAATCAAATAGCTGCGTAGCATCTCAAGCTCGAACTTAAGACGATCTTAAATATAAGATCGGACTATGAATACCGGCCATAGTCCGATCTTATATTTGAGATCATAAGGCCGGTATTCATAGTCCGATCTTATATTTGAGATCATCTTAAGTTCGAGCTTGAAATGCTACGCAGCTATTTGATTGGTTGAATGAGGTCTTAAGTCAACCTCCAAGCAGACTTAAGACGATCTTAAATATAAGATCGGACTATGAATACCGGCCATAGACATAGTAAGTATTTCGCCCCTCCATGACGAACCGGCGCGAGAAGATGTGGAGAAGTGCTCCCCATTTCTCCGACATTGAAAAGAGAAAGAAACTCATCTTACATCTTTTGTCTTTTTTTTCGTATGCTTAACACTTATACAATGTATGCTCGGGCCGGTATTCATAGTCCGATCTTATATTTGAGATCGTCTTAAGTTCGAGCTTGAAATGCTACGCAGCTATTTGATTGGTTGAATGAGGTCTTAAGTCAACCTCCAAGCAGACTTAAGACGATCTTAAATATAAGATCGGACTATGAATACCGGCCTCGGCCTATACTTACTATGTCTATTTTTGAGATCGTCTTAAGTTCGAGCTTGAAATGCTACGTAGCTATTTGATTGGTTGATTGAGGTCTCAAGTCAACCTCGGACCAGACTTAAGACGATCTTAAATATAAGATCGGACCAGTGATGGTAGGCCGGGTGACTTTTTCGCGCATGCGCCCCGAACGCGGCGTTAACGAAGTATCTAATAG